TTCGTTCTTTCCACCATCAGGAAAATTTCAGTCAATACTCGAACGTTGGATAACTATACAATCGTCAGGCGATGCTGATACACAAGAGGTTCCGATTAGCATTTATGCCAAAGTTTGCCAAAAACGTCTTGAGAAAATAATCCAAACTGGACCGAAAAAAGGGTTGAAGAAACCGACATTTGAAGAAATTGAATTATCAAAAGTACGTAAAATTTTACTCTTTATTAAATGTTGCCAATATAAATTATTGATTTTATTTTAGCATACAATACATTTTCCGTCGATGTTTGGTGCAACACTGGAAGAAGTAATGGCGATGCAACGAACAAGATTTCCTGAAAGACGTTTACCATGGATACAGACAACATTATCGGAAGAAGTTTTGAGGCTAAATGGTGCACAAACTGAAGGCATATTTCGGTACGCCTTAGTTTAACTTTTTCCCCTTAAATGGCTTAATAGTCAATTTTGTGTTATTTTCAAGGGTACCGGGTGATTTAGATGGTGTGAATGCTCTTAAAGTAAAATGTGATCAATGGCAATTACCTTCGTTAGAAGATGCACATTTGCCAGCTAGCCTGTTGAAATTATGGTATCGTGAATTATCTGAACCATTAATACCATCGATCTTCTATGAGCAATGCATATTATATTGTGATACACCTGAAACCTGCATACGTTTGGTAAATTCTTTACCCGATATCAATCGAGCAGTTTTAACTTATTTAATAAGATTTTTACAGGTAATTATGAAAAAAGAAACCAAGAAGTATCAAATATTAAATGATTTTTTTAAAATATTTTTTAATCAGGTTTTTGCTGCACCAGAAAATGTTGTTATTACAAAAATGGACGTTAATAATTTGTCGATGGTTATGGCCCCAAACTGTTTACGTTGCGAAAGTGATGATGCTAAAATTATATTTGAAAATGCCAGAAAAGAAATGTTATTTATCAAAACGCTGATACTCCATCTTGATACTAATAGTATAGAGGGCGTCATTTAAAAAGTCCCTGTTTGCTTTTCTTCCATTGCTACCTGATATTACCCGCTGTTGTTTTTTTCTACTTGTCTTTTCTTTCTTTCTCACAGACGATTTCCTTAGAAGATTCTTTTTTTGTTCACTTTTATTCGACCGGATAGCAGCATTTATATCAAAAACTAAGAATCTCTAATAAGTTAGTTTTCTCTTTTGTGTATTCTCAGGGTATTTGTGCAATGTGCTTCTCATGTTTGTACATATATGTATTGTCGCGTAAACAGAACAGTTTTTTTCTTTTGCTTTATGTACTATGACATCATTTACACATATACTAGTCACTTCTTTTCTTTGAGATAGATTGCCTTGTTATGCCAAACTTCTTTCTGTTTTACTTTTATTGTTATTCTCTTTTTGTTGTTCATTTTGCTTAAAAACTACATTTTTCTATGCAAATATGTACGTGTTTTGTGTTTTTTTATTGCTTTTTTTTCATTGTAGAGTGAATAGCCTCAAAACTGTGTAGATAGAATTGAGATTTCTTGTTTGTAGTAGCAAACTGTTTGCACTAAATAGAGGAAAGACGAGTATAAAATAAAATATAATGTTTTATAATAGACCACCATTAGCAGCTAGATCGAATCTCATATGCAACCCACCTTTTATCGTCCACCAGTTATTGGTTATGAAAGTGGACGTGTAACGGTCGCGTTAAAGTATTATTAGGGGACACATCCAAAAGTGGTAGTTTGATAAGTAACTAATTCTGCTTTTCTACAGTATCGATTCAAGTCGAATCTTTGTTCAATTTGAAGGTAGTTAATGTGTCGGAAATTCTAAAATTCAGCAGATTTTTCTTTTTACATCTTTTTATACATGATCGGATAGAGCGCACCGAGCTGATTCAGAAAATATGTGTTTTAGTGTCTGAAAAAATTATTTTCATGTCGAAAAATTGAGAATACTTGAAGGGTCCCAATTTTCGAAAAACGCCTCGGTTTCAGAAAAATTCAAATATTTTTCTTTTTCATTCTTCAGACATTTTGAAAGTATTATTTTTAGATTCAGCAGCAAAAACTGAGTATGGGAATGATGTCTGATCGAAGTTGAAGCCAAAGATCTATCCAGTATGGACACTTGGATTCGCCCTGTAAAAAGTTCATCAACAATTTTGTAAACCTATTCAGTTTTTTTGTGAAGAGATGAAGCAGAGTTTTTTACTCCATTAAACGAACTTTTAAAGTACGGATTGCTTTTTTTTTTCGTTTTGCTTTGTCACGAAGAAAATTCATTTTCCCTAGACTAGGAGCGAAAAAATCCGAATTTTGTCGGTAATTCTCAATTGTCTCGATCAGAACTCAACTTCTATCCAATACAAATACCATATTCGGAATCAGCATCAAAACCTGAGTCGAACGATAAATTCGTTTATTTTTATTTTGATGAAAGTCCCAGTGATTTTTCGACGTAAAAATGATATACCTTCCCTTTTGAGTTTTTTTGAATTTTGTCTAAATTTATCAGATAAAAAGGAATTGTTACATAAAAACACTGAACCGGCTTTCGTCCAAATCATGAACTATATTAGCTTTGTTTGACTGTATTGCGTTCGTTACTCACAGATAATTTCTTTATGGGAGGCGTGGTGAATGTTTTCTATGAGTTTCCGCAAGAGGAAGAAGCGCACAATATGCATTTCTCTAATAGCAGGCGGACATCAGAATTGTCGGATCGTTAATCGTATTTTTATCATTAATTATCATTCTCTACTCATATCTGATGCCTGAAAAGAAAAAAAACGTTTTCAGAAGAATCGATCTTGGAGGTTCATGGGAAAAAATTTCGATGGCGATTTGTTTGATCGAAACTTATCGTGTTATTTCGAGCTAATTTTTGGCTGAATATTTTTCCAGGTTTCTTACCACTTGGAACAAAAACTCTTATGTTATTAAATAGCTCATATAATGAGGTATATTCTCCACTATCTGAATCTGCAAAAAGAGCGTTTTTGATTTTTTGCTTAATATGTGCCTGGATGCACTGTGGGGTGCACCTCTGAAAAGTCACGAGTGATAGTATGAAGTTCGAATCATTCTTTAAAAGATGAGGAAATGTGCATCCTTCTGTCGCACCATCTTTGCTTACTACGTCGACTTTCTTCTCATCATCTGATTTGCGACTTAATTGTTTGTTCGAGTGTGAGGGGTGAAGCTTTTATTTCTCGCTGTACCATAACAATAAAAACACACTCACACGTACTCACATAGAGACACTGATTGTTAGTTCATACACATTCTCAAGAAAAATGCAGTAGAAAAAAGTCGTATTAAAAACAACATCAAGAAGAGCAACAATAAAAAAAAATGCAAAAATTTGCCTATTGTTTTTTTGTTACCTAATTTAAACTTTTTCTAATGATGTCTCATATCTCGTTGACGGGGTCTTGGTGGAGCCCGAATGATATTATCAATACGAAGCACCATTTCAGCTGCTTCTGATGCACTGACAACAACTTGTCGTTTCAGATGATATGATTCTAATATTCCTAATTTACTCATATCAGCTGTTGTTCCATTTGTCATGTCTTAATACAGAGGAAAAACGTCATCACAAAAAATAAAATAAAATCGAAAGTATATACCTAAACCGAATGTGTTCTTTCCTGATGCATGTGCAGCACGAAGATTGGCTACTAATTCAGCACTATCATAGCCACCATTATCAGCAATGATCGTTGGCAACTAAACATAAACAAAATAAGTCTTTAAGTTGTTTTAGTAATAACTAATACTAACTTGACGAAGAGCACGAGCGAATGATTCGATAGCAACTGATTCTTTGCCTGGCGTTTTCTCAGCCTAAAACAAAATAAAGACTAAAGATTTTATGTAGTTATTTCACTGCATACATTACCAGTTGTGTAACAGCATTTGCCATTAACATTTCAGAAGCTCCTGAAAACGAGAATTTTATTATAGGATAAAAAACTCACGATGGCTTTCACTTACCACCACCATAACATATTCTTGGTTCTTTAACTGTTTGAGATAACACACAAAGTGCATCATGTATTGAACGTTCAGCTTCGTCAAGAATTTGTTGCGTAGCACCTCGAAGTATAATGGTACAAGCTTCACCCAAAGCAACTCCTAAAAAAAGAAATGATGTTTGACGTATAACTGCGAAGATAATAGTAGAACATGAACCTGAAAACTTGATGAGCTTATCTTCGCCAATAATCACTTCTTCAATAAGCTTACAACGACCTAATCGTACCTTATCAGGTGCATCAAATGTCGATACAATCTCTCCTCCTAGAAGCGAATAGTGGTTGAAAAGACATTAACATCTTTTTAATATGTCTTACTGACCCAGAACTGATGCCAATCGTTCAACTCCTTCGAAATCGGCATGTTCAATAGCCATTACACCTCTATCAGCAAATAATTGTTCGGGATAATCATAGATCAATTGTCTTAAAATAGAAAATAAGTGAATATATCTTTTTAGCCACAATAAGTATTATTACCGATTAATAAATACTGTACAGTCGTGTTTAAGAATTTTTTCTACTTTATCTTTCATTTTTTCTTTTTCGGCTAATTCCAGTTCGGCTACTTTAGCTACGGAATCAACACGTACACGGGAACCAAATACTTTCACTTTATCTGTATCCATCGGCGTATTACAAATAAGCACTCGTGCATTTTCCATACGTTTTGGCATATTCATTCCAATACGTTTATCAAGGAGAAATCCTAAATATAAATGTCATCATAGCATTCAGTATGTCAACATGTTCAATAAACTTTACCTTCTTCGAGATAAGAATCACTTAAATTATTACCAAGCTTTTTAATTATTTGAATTGATTGAAGATCTGTTTTGCCCTACATGAAAATGTTAGAAAAGTTCAGGCAATTTGCTTCAATAATCTGTAATATCATACTTTCAATTTCAAAACGGCTTCAACACATAATTTTGAAAAATGATCTTTTTTTCCTTGAAGAATTTTTGAACTTAACGTTGTACGAGCTATTTTTAGTAGATCGTCTTTGAACTGTTCAACATTTTTACTAGAAAATAAAAAGAGAGCGTTTTTTCTGAGAAATCACATCAGGGACGTTCTTTTTTATTCTTAATCCTACCTGTGATCTTCGGCTACTTGTTCGAGAACTCTCAATGCCTCTGTGCTTGCCTTTCGCCATCCATTCACGACTGTTTGTGGATGTATTTTTTGTCCAAGTAAAGTTTCAGTTTCCTGGAATAAAAAAGTTGAAGTTTTAACATCGATTATTGAATTTTTGTTTGTTAAAAGAACTTACTCTTAAAAGTTCACTAGCAAGAACAGTCACAGACGTTGTACCGTCACCAACTTCATCATCTTGAACTTTTGATATTTCTAAATAAACATATGGTATAAACAATCATCTGAGGTGTGTTCTTCCATCTTTTATTTTGCTTTTTGTTCAAGATAATCGTTAGCTTATTTCAGTTTATTTTTCTAACACATAGATCAACGTACCCACTAAAACTTTTGCTACAGGATTATCAACTCCTAAAACACAACGTTAAAGCCAAAGCATGAATTTCGTTAAACATTATCATTAAAGAAGCTTACCGATTTTCGATAATATGGTTGCCCCATCATTTGTAACAAGAAGTTTTCCTGAATCCGGACCACCACCACCACATTGTAATATTTTATCCTAAAGTATATGGTACAATTAGAAATAATTCGTTTTGGCAAAACAAGCATACCATTCCCTTGGGACCGAGTGTACTTTTAACGAGATCACCAACTGCTAACGCGCCTGCAAATGTAGACTAAAAGAGCAGAAAACGGTAAACATTTTTGTAAATCTTTTACATTTCAAAAGACTTACCAATCGAGCTATTTCTGCTTTTTCTTCTCCTCCGCCAGGTTTATAAAGCGGAATTGGATTAAGTGCTGCCTATTAAAATAATAGATTGTAACAATCAAATATTCTCGAACTAGTTAAAAAAGAATACATACATTCAAATCT